CTCACCTTCCTTCCACCTGGGAATTGAGTTAACTGCAAACCAATGTCAGAGTGTGTGTGTCTTTGTTGTTGTGCAACTGGTTGTTTCTCAAATGCAGTGGTCTTTTGGCCACACGTGTATGGGTATATACAACTATCAAGATCTATGAAATGAATTATCTTCATAGTTGGTGCTAGAGACAAGATGATTATTCTGGAAGACATTATATAAGTCCAAGAGGATCTGGTATAGCTACACCAAGTGCGGTTTCTGACACCAAGCTGTACTCCATGTACGGAAGATTTATAGACCCTGCCCCCATGGTATAAAGGCAATCGCCGGGGCATGATGATTCTGATTGAGGGTGTGAGATGGATGCAAATAAGCTATCTTCACGCAACCACAGGCTATAGGTTTTCCAGAATTGCTTTTGACTTGCAATGGCATGTCTACAATCTTCACTTTGGGAGGTCTTCCTCAAGTTCTCAGGTTGACCACTCCAGGGATTTTGTGTTGTCTTCCCTTCCCACAAAGATCGCAGCACCTCCAGTTCTCGCAGCAAGCTGAGGCATTCATCCGTGGGCGCCACGGGCGCGTAAACCAAAAGCCCACGGCGCGTGGTCATTCCTGGCGCCAACGAGGCTGGAACGGCTGGAGTTGTCCCACACACAACCGATAAGACCTGTGTGGGAGCATATGACTCCCGATGCCAGGACTGCCCGGGGTGCTTGATTTCAGGAGTCTTTCTGGGGCGACATAGATTCCATACACGCTATGGACCATGGAGTGTCTGGGAAGGCAAGCTGGAGCATCCGTGAAAGCAAGGGTCAAGGTCAAGACTTCAAAATGGAAGAGCTCCCCAAACAATCAGACATCTCTAGCACCTGAAACGGATGATCCAGGTCATGTCTTTATCACTCGTTATGTAGACACTTGATGCATCGCCCCATTCTATTTGAACTCAAAAAACCTGAAAAGACTTTACAATCCATGTCTGGAGGCTTCTCTTGATCCAAATCGATCTTTCTAACTCCCCAACCAACCGTGGGCCCCAAGAGTCTCCAACATCTCTGGGTCTCTGTGATTTGTTCGTCAAGCTCTGAACACTCCACAGGTGTCCCCGCCACGCTCCCTCCCTTCTCTTGGCTGAGGATCGGTAGACCGTCATCCGGATGGGCACATGGATGTAGAGAATGCCCTGCTTCTGCTCAAAGGTCCATAACTCGCCTCGACTGGTCGAGAACGTGTCCGGCTCCGACGATCCCACGTGGAAGAGAACGGAGCGTTTGGGCCTTTGACCGATTCACCTGAGACTTAAGGCCATGAAAAGCCAAATGCCAACTGGAGCCCTTTCAAATCCCTCATCTCACATCTTACAAGAAAGCACTAAAGACAACTTGGTCCTTCCACAAAAGCACGAGCCGACCCTTTACGTCTCCCATTCATTGTAGCTCAGCAACTCACCTACCTAATTACTACCTGGACCCAACTTCAGGTACCTTAGAAAATGGGACATGATCCTGTAACAAAAAACAGTTATGTACTATTACCTGGAGTCTCAAAGTACCTCGGAAAGTGACCAGGCCCTGTTTTTATAGGGCCATGTCACATGTCCCATGTTCACTTGAAGTCGGGTCCAGGTACTCATTTTCGAAGCTACGACGACGACTCCATGCACCGCAAAGCCTCTTGCTCTCTTGCTCTCGCTCTCCCCTCGGCTTGTCCCGCCTGGGAGCACCTCATAGCGCTTGGTCAAGCGCCGCTCGTAGGGTGCGATGGGCAGCGCGGGCCAAAAGCTCCAGCGCTGCTCTGGAGGGACTCCTGGACCCCGACGCCAGTCCTGCAGAAGTAGAGGGACAGGGACACCCTGTTGGGACCGCCCTAGCTTGATGAACCCGGTCGCCCACCATTGTTTTAATGGTCTTTACCAACACCACCAATATGTTGCTAGATGTTGCTAGGTATTTTTAACAACAAAACCAGGTCAACCTATGTCAACCTTTCGTTTCATGGTCCTTCCCAAGGCAAGAGGAACTGAAGCGGTATGGGTCTGGTCAAGGCTTCGGTCTGGTCACTTTGAAGAACCAGGTAGACAAGCTGAATCTTGTAAGCCAAGAACCAGGATGGGGGTGCGGCATGAAACACATTGGATTCACCACATGGATCTGCTAGGCGTTTGTCGTTGGATCGCCCACACGGCACGGGATGCCGAAGGGTTCACCAGTTGAGCCAGAGGACTTGTTGGAGCCTGGCACTGTGATCGTTCTACTCGGGTCTCCTTAGGTTATCTGAGAGGGATCCAAGTTCTGTAGAGGATCGTGACATTTCCTACTGAACCAGGAAGTATAAGGTCCCTTCTACACTAGTGAAAACATGTGATAACTGTATATAACTGGCTGATGAAACATCAAACAACCATAGAGCCTCTCTAGCAAACCCATCTGGTCTTCACCTCTCGATCTCAATGTTCTTCCACCACAGTATCCTTCTACAAGGGGTTGTTTTCCACATGCTTTGAATCACCCGTGTGATCACGGAGTCACCAGTGAACTCGTCGCACAGGTCCTCCTTTGACTCTGTGATTGCAGAAGGCGTGAAGGCCCTGTGGGACCGCCAGGCCCCAAACACGAGCACGGCCCAAAGCCATGGCAACGAGCCCTTCAGCCGTCGCGACATGGGTGGAATCGATCCAAGGTTTTTTTTTTGCTCGCGTGTTGACCAAAAGCTTCTTGAGCTGCTTTGGGGCGGTGTTGGGATCATTGCCTGCCCCCCAGTCCAAGTATTTGTCCTCCACACTCTCTGAAATCATGGTTACGTGGTTGGAATCTGATAACGCTAAACGGGAGTTCCTGCATTGAGTTGACTTTTAAGCCGTCCCTAAGCTTTTGACTCAGGGGTGCTTGGAGTGTATGAATCCACCTGGACCCTCTGTATGGTCTAAACCATTCTAAACCAGGAATTCCAGCGCATTGGGTGCCGAACTTGGAGGGTAGGTGACGGTAAGTGCCCTTGTCACATCCACTCACTGGATGGGACGAACAAAACCACTGCCGGTAGATGGATCGATGTGTTTATTCATTCATGTTTGTGTATTTAATCCTAGATCATTTATGTATAATGTTCAATGGTTCAAGGCAGGCCCAAACTTCCGGATCTTCTGATCCTAACCTTTCCAACCCTCGAGTCATTTCGAGTCGAACATGCTTTTCTCAAGCGCCCAAGTCCGCGCGGATCCGCCCAGGTGGATGTGTTGGTGGTCCATCCGAGCTTCAGAGATGGTTGATGGGTTGATGTGCAAATCACCATGGATGGATGTGCAGCCTCAGTACAGTGGTTTCAGAGGTTCGATGGCACTGGCACCCCAAGATGTCTTGAACAAATGGGGTCCATCTAAACCACCAAACTTGGGGATTGTGCCATCTACTCTCAACCCACTATACAAGTTTCTCTGGGATAGAAGCCTCCTTGGCTGCTGAATCTTTTTGTATATATAAACACCATGCGTTCGTCTGAATTTGTCCTCAAAGAAAAAATCGTTTCTTTAATCTCGAACGCATCGATATACCATCCAGTTCTGTTACAAGTATATATATATATATATTATATATATATATATATTTGGTGGAACAACAAGGATCTATGCGTGGGGATGTGGACCTGAGACCGTAAAGAACCACATCCCACACACGACTAAACTGGGACTCGGCGGTGTACGCCACCCCATTGACCCCCCCGAACCACCCGCAACTGATCGGCAACTATGGCAGTCCCATTAGTCGTGTGTGGGTATGTGTCGACTAATCTGGTGGACATGGGCGTCCGAGGCCAGCGGTAGCATGCGGTAGCCAGAGCAACAGGATATCATAGAATAACCAATGAGAGCCACACTCATGTGTTCAGGATGTGATCATCACCCGCCAATGTTTGTAGCTTGCGACACCGTGACACCGTGATCATCACCTGAACAACCATGGGAAAAAGTACTTTCCTCTACGTACTACCGTGTTTCGAGTGGTTCGCGTTCATTCATGTCAGCTTTGCAAAGTACCCAAAGTGACAACAAAAAGTGGTGCATGCAAATCAACACACTTATAACTTATAACATACTAACAAAGAAAACAAAACCCAACATTCCACGCTTGATAACCACAAAAAGAAACACAGCCTGGCCGGAATTCCGGGGTCCCAAAGTGCCCTTTCCATGCCCAGACCTACAAGTACCGCCACCCGTGGTCCAAATCCACTCGTTGACAACCCAAAACACTGGGGGCCTCTGAACCTCCGCCCGGAGGGTCGGAGCAAAAACACCAACACCACGAGGAAAAAAGGACACAACAACAACGGACGCACCAATAGCTTGCAATTCCAAAACAACTTTGACCTGGATCTTTCCTAACAAGAGAATTTGGGGGGCAACCATGGGTAACCTGCTTGTTTTTTGGGGAATGACATCTGGGAGATTGGTGGGGGACACATCGTCGTGTGCGTTGGGGTCATCCCGGAGCTGTGCGAAGCAACTCCGGAGGGCCTCGGTGGACCGGGAGGTTTCGCTGATCTTGGCCAGCACCTGGTCGCGACCCTGCTTGCACTCCTGGTCGGAAACCCCCGCACGTGGCGGAGACGAGACGAAACGGAGGCTGAAGAAGGTACCTGGGACCCGATTAACATCACAAAGACTCCATGGGACTGATGACCGATCAGGCCAGGGTGGTTGAAAGGCGGTCAATGGGGCGCCAGTCCTATGGCAGTCCTATGGAGTGTCTGGGATTGGTACAAGCAAGTAGCCATCTAAAGATATTATAAGCCCAATGGATCCACATACCGAACCAGCTCGGTACGGTGAGCAGGGAGACTATTGATGTAGGCGGTCGCCGGGAGGGTCCAAGGACGCCTTCTGAGAAGGTATATGTGGAGATCCATAGGGAGGGTGATGTTCCATGTTCTAGGCCTTTACCCGGTGTGTTCCAAGTTTTCTTGGTGGTATGAGTAGTAGGTTAGTACGTGACGTTTCCACAATCTTACCCCAGGCTGCAAATTTCAAGCAGATGGGTAAGTACAACCTCCAATTCCATGAATTGCTGAATCCCCCTAATACCGATAACTTACACTAATGGAATCTGAACAGCACTCCTTCAACAAGTGCTTCCGTGTGCTAAGTGTGCAAACCACCTTCTCGATCAGAAAATCATCCGCGGAGTTCATCAAAAACACACAAAAACCTCCAAAAGCAAAATCTTACCCCAAAGATTTTGAGGCATCCATTCACTGCATGTTGCATCCTCTGAGCCAACTGGACGGTTCACCGGGCTTTTGGACCTGACAAGGCGACGTCCAAGTCGCCGTGGACCAGCCGCCCAAATGCGACCAACAAGGCTGCCCCATCCAGTCGACCCCGGTGTCTCCTGATTCTCAGGATCCAATTTGAGGCCTGGCGTGGCCGACACGACACGGCCGACACGACACGGCCAACACGCCCGTTTTCGAGGGAAGGAACTGGAGGGTCCAGGTATAACTAGTTACAGTCGAACTTTAAGAGCCTTCAATTACCTGTCAACGTAATTAATAAGTTGTTTTTGACTGTTTTTGACACGAAAGCCTCCCAGTCGACGCTCGCCTTGCTCGTAAGCCTGCAAGGACTTGTGGTACTCCTTCATGAAGAAATGCCTTAGCCGTAGCCACGGAGTGACATCGCCTGGTAAGGTCCAAGTCTGCTCGTTTTCCTACTTGTTTCTGTGATTCTCTGTCTTACAATCTGATAGGCTAACGTTCTTTGAGTCATGACTTCCCTCAACAAACTCCCCCATCACATCTAACTCTGAGCAGTCATAATTTTCCTAACAAGCTCCCATGGCACCAGTCTATTCCATCCATTTTACAAAACACATCTATTCAAGCATATATCTAAAACTTAATTCAGTACATTCGTTTCTATGCCCGTCCAATGTCTCATGGTGAGTCTCATCAACCAACACTTGCCGAGCACCTCTCAACGACCTGCCTCCCCCAAAATACACGAACTCCCTTTCAACTCGGGGGCCTGCGGGGGCACGGGGGGGGGCGCATGGCGTTGTGGGTCGGCGCGGCGGCATCGAAGTCTCTGGGCCAACCCAACGCCGCTCCCTTTCGGGAGTAGGCCTTCACAAAGGTGGGATCCTGTCCACCGGTCGATGGCGGTTTGATGCGTCCGGCGTCGGTCGGTCAAGTGTGGAGTCGGTTTGGAGTCAGGTGAGACGAGCGGCATGGAGGAGGGAATGACCAGCTGTAGGTTCTGAAAACCACCAACGCAGCAAGTGATGTGTTTTTGTATGTTGTTTGTGTTTCTTCTGGGAGCTGATGACGACCCTTCAATTCTGTTCATACAGTCGGGAAACTCACTTCCCGTCTTAAAGGTCGTCCCACGGACCGTGTTTGCTTTTAGCCACTTCGGGTTCAGGGCTGCGAGAGCCGCTGCTGGCCCTGCGCTGCTCTTACTTCCTGTGCTGGACTTCGGATGACATGACGCCGAAGGCACCGAGCAGGACGGAACCCAGCACAGGCAGCTTTCCGAACCCAGGAAGTTAAAGACTTAAAATGTTCACTCGGACGAACATGCATACTAAGTGGATGGCATGGGCAACGGGAAGCGCCTGGAAGACCTACTTTCCTCTATAGAAGCAGGTGGTTTTCCACTTCCATGTTAGTGCCCTAGAGCTCTACTTATACCTTTTCCGGTGTTTGGGATGGTTTGGAGGGTCCAAGTACCTTCTGAGGAGGTACTCGGAGCCCTAGTAGGGGTGAGTTGGAGGGTGCAGTAGGTGGCTCTTTCGTCTTACGTACTTCCCGTTCTGTGCTAGCACTGTCATGGTCCCCAACTGTCAACGAACCTCCCAACAGCTGTTCGTGAGTTCAAAGACGGGTACTGTATAGTTCTATAGCTAGACTCCCTGGTCCAATGGCTTTGGTGACAAACGTTGAATTTCCTATCTAAATATACAACCATCTCCTCTCAGTGATGGTTATTAAAAATCTACTTCAGTGCTCCAGGGTTCTTTCGTGGTCAGGGTCTTTTGGTAGACTGTCTCCATCGTAGGTCACTTAAATTGTGGTATATATGTGTGGTTTTATAATATTGGTCATTTTTGTCGTCTTCATCCCTGCTGCCCACGCCCGACCCCCTTGTCAGCATGTCAGTGAAGTGCCATGACAAGCGCAGCACTCAGTTCTGGAGGGTGGGATGGAGTTCTAAACTGTATTGAAACAGCGCATCAAGTCAGTTCAATTTGTAGTCAATACACTTGAGATGCAGTCGGTGAATCAGAACAGTATTATTTTTACCGGTACAATTAATAAATAATGAATGGTTGATTGAATTGTTGAAGAACAACTTCCACCCAAAAAAAACTCAAATTGTTGACAGGTGAGGTTTTACAAATGTTGTTGTATGTCATCCTGATTAAGGTGTTCAGGTGGAACTTCTTTGACTTCAGTGACGGTCTGGACCGCGTCAGCTGCGGGGAAAACGGATTCCAACCAACCATCGACAAGATGGGAAGCGCTGGACAAGCGCATTGGCTGCTGAAAGATGCAGCCTGGATTTGGAATCCGTTTTCCCATTGGGGGAATGTGTTGAAAGAGACACCTGGTATCTTTGGAAATCACTAGCCCTTTTGTGAAGGGTGAATAGCTCGCTGTAAAAG